GGGGGGGGGGGGGGGGGGGGGGGGGGGGGTAGAGTAAAACTCACCGCTTTCGGCATCTCTCTCTCTTTGGCCATTGAATGGTAATCTTCCCACCGCATGCACATTCGATGGGTGCGGAATTCTGGTGTCGGTTCACGGTGGGCTTGTTGCCATACCATGCGACTGAGGTGCATGGATGGCATGCATATTAGCTCTTGGCGTATCATCTCCAGACAATGAGTCCAATGGATCCAATGGATGGGATTAAGGAGTTCGGGCTTGCTGCGCACCGAATTCATTAGAACGAGAACTTGGTTGAGACTCGGGGGTTGTTGGATCGGTAATGAGGGAGGATAACAACTTACTAGTAGTGTGGAAAATTGTGATAGGAGTTTCTTCGCAAGACGTCGAGGCAGTGCAGAAGATGGTAGGAATGGAATTCTACGAAATACTCGCCAGGATTGTCGGGCCATTCCACTGCTGTATCTAGCGTTCCGTGCATCTTGATGAGATCTTTCTTTGATACCAACATGTATTTGGCGCTTGAGATCTCGTTCCATGCTTCGTCTACTGCAGGCGATGGTTCTTGTTCAAAGATGTTGCTCTTGTTTCCCCAGAGATCGCCACCGAGAGTGACTTTCTCAATGCGTGGCTTGAAGTCTTTGTACAATGGAGCTTTTTTTTCGCTCAGTCAGCCATTCTGTAGTAAGTCAGGGTGAGATGGTCGCATACAGAACGTATCTGCCGCTGCTGCGCGCTCAATCCGCGATGGGTGCGTATAGTATGCGCGAGTAGCGAAGAAAGTGGTCACCGCAGTCGACACTATTGCTATCCAGAACCAGTGTAGTCGTATTTGACGACGCGTGGAGCCCCCATGGTGCAGCTCGAGGTCAGCATCACCAACCTCCGTATCACCGTCTGACAAGAGAGACTCTTTGCAGTCGTGATCGGTGGGAGTAGCCATTGGAGAAGTATTGTCCAGAGCAGATGTGCAGTTGAGAACGGGGTGGCTTCGAAGGAGTGCTAGTGGAGTGGAAGTCTTCGAAAAGATGCTCACTCTGGATGCATGACTCGTTGGAGGCAACGCACCTGACGCCCTCTTCCAGCAAGATGTAGCTTCTAGCAGGGCTGCTATCTTTTGAAGACGGCATGATGCAACCGTGCGGGATGAAATGTTCAGGGCCTCGATGCATTTGTTGCCAAACACCAGGGCAGGCATCAAAGGGCTATCGATAGGGCTCGATGCTAATCCACTTGCCGATCGACGCAGCTACATTGATGGGTGATGGGAGGCGGGGAAAGGCGTTGGTTGTTGGTTGTTGTTTGTTGGTTGTATCGATCTCATATTCTCAGTTGGGAGTCGCTACTGGTGCGGTAGGTAGCACGTGGCCCAAGCAGTGGTTCACCAGTGTCGAATGGTGCCATCAAGCCAGCAAACCTACGGCGTGTAGTTGGAACTTACCCGATCAGGCTTAACTGCCGAGAGTACAAGACTTGCATGTATCGCTTGCACATACCGGGAATAATACCCTGAGTGGTCCGTGCATAGAGGCCCTCGAACTCTCTCCCAACCTCACTTGCTCTCTCCCCACATCACCCACTCCCTACCTCACCAACACGCTCCCACACCAACACGCTCTCGCCGTACGCACCAACTACGTCAATCGACCAGGTGAGGTCTGGATGCTGCCAGTACAGACTTGCATATACCAGGAAGAACACCTTGACACACTCTACTGCGGCCAACTCAAAAGTGCGCCGTCAAACGAAAATGGACGGTGGAATGAGATCGATGATCGCAGCTCTATGATCAATTGTTCCAACCAGTCTACGCTTCTGAAAGCGACACTTGGAGCTTGTGACATCGTGCCCCAAACTGGACAGTCTCGACGGACATATGGTAGAAGCCATCTTGATGTCAGGTCGTCGAATGGCCAGGTACTAGGCTACATGGAACAAGCAACATCCAAGTGTAGAGAGCTAGGAACCTAACAACAAAGCACTTCACGATGACTCTATGCGTCATGGCCGGCTTAGGGCTCTCAAGGGCCCCAGAGTAGTCTACAAGCAGGTCCAAGACTCACAGCTTGTGGGCAGCCCCATAGGCAGCGAATTAGATCGCTGGGATTTTAGATCGCTGGGATTGAGTAGACCTGCGAGCCGTGTTCGACGTATATCGCCATAGTACAATGGCCAAACACGTGAATATAGGCTTCATCTTGGACAAACCAAGCCCAGGTGCCTTGCTGTCAATACCAAATTGGGAAGGTGCATCTCGTTGGCGTCGACGACAGGCAGGTTTGCATCGTTGAAACTGACAGTTCTGCAGATCGCGAAACTGACATCCTATCATACCTGCCCGTGGACCGTCATTCAAAGCTCTACATCACAAGCTGCTCCGTATTCATAACAAGATACAAATACAACTGCTTCTCCCTCCTTCTGATGCTCCTCCTGCTAGACAGCCATTGCACCTCCATCAAGTTGCATCTCTCTCTCTCTCTCCATTGAAACTCAAGACCACGACAATTCCACCAAAGAAGAAAATGTACACCCGCTACATTCTCCTCCTCGCGACAGTCCTGGCAACTTGCAGTAAGAAGATCGATAAACTACCCAAAGATTCTACGCTCGTAAAATCGCTAAATAAAATTACAGATGCCGTCGCAATTCCAAAACCAGCACCAATCGCGGACCCTGCTGCTTCTCCTCAAGACTTCAAGCGAGCACTAGAAGAGAAGCGTCAATACGCGTCGTTCAATGACTACGCAGATGGATTTGACTACCCCAAAACGGCGAAGACCGTTCGCGAGGCTTCAACTTGAGAACATGTTCTCAAGGTTGCGCGAACATGAGAGAATTTATTCAATCACTACGGGGTAAGAACTTACTACGTTATTGCTACAACGGACGGGGATTGCGAAGGCTAAAGCAGGACTAGAAGCGTAAGGAAGGAGACCGGTGTTGGTGTTGAAGAAGAAGAAGAAGAAGAAGCGTCGTGGGAGCCGATTTCGTTGCATGCGATTTTTGTGTAGTGTGTTGTCGTGGCTTGCCAACCACAACCAACCCCTCAACGGGTACCTGGGAAAGAATTTGTGCGCGCAGAGAGAGAAAGAGTTTCTATACTCTTTCGCTTTTCTCCTTATCTCCTTATTGTATCGGTTGATGTGTTAGAGACCTCGAAAATAGAAAAAACAAAGTTGCCACGACGCCCCTTTTTTCTTCTCATTCCTCAATCCATCACATTTCGACCCTCGGTTAGTAGTATATCATAATTTCCCTCCAACAGAATCCGAGAAAGAAGCAGAAGAAATATCTCCGCCTGTTTATAGCTGACTCATCAGAGAAACCATCATCTGCTTATTGTCCAAGAGTAGGTATAGGTATCCTATATCAAAACGTGTTCCAGACGCAGCGAGGATAGTTAAAAGATTGTCTGTCCCCAAGCGCCGCTGCTACGACTTCTGTATCGTGTTGCCGTGGGGTTGAGGCGGAGTATTGTTATTGAAAGTTGGGAGTGCTGATTGTTTCGAGTATATAAGTTCTTAAGGGGCGGGGAGAAAAAAAGAAAAAGGGAAATGGAAAATTTTTGACGGTTAGTTTTTAGGTTGAGTTGATTTTGACGGGATATGAGGGCTGAATATATCGTAAAGATCTTGCGTCAATAGTTATTGACCGTAGATTGTGTGTGAGGGGGCGTCGATTCAGGCTTTCGTTGCTGCTCCAGCCCAGCAAGCAGAAAGTCATTATGGGTTCTCCAGCTGCACATCTCAATGATCATCCTTGACAATCTCGTCCACGGTAAAGTGGCTCACTTGTCCCGAGCTTCCATCACCCATTTTCGTAGTATCATAGCCGTGCAGTTCCAGATATTTCTTGAACTCGATATCTTCCTTTTCAATAGCGTCCTGATTGATTGTGGGGAGACACCAGACCAAGAACGCACTGAAAAAGCACAGTGCACTGGCGACGTAGAAAGGATACTGTCCTCCTCGAGTTGTGTGTGCTCCGCCTCCAGCCTTGATGATGTATGGGAAAATGTAATTGCCAACAAACGCTCCAATTTTTCCGATGGCCGCTGCAATTGCGTAGTATTGGCCTCGGATGCCAGTCGCGCATGTCTTGGATGCTACAAGGCCAATGTTGTCGCCAGGGCCCATCTCGCCGAGAGATAAAAAGATGCCATAGACTACCACGAAGCCGGCGATGTTTTGGGACTCCTTGAGATAGGTATAGCAGCCGGACATGACGAATCCGAGAGCACCTTGGGCAGCGACAAATATCATCAGCGCCAGACGAGGACCCATCCAGTCGGAGGTGAAAGCACCGAGGATAGCGCCCGGCAGGTAGAAGAAGTTCACGAGTACAGACCAGCCGAAGGTTTGCCAGAGGGCGGAGTCGGGTTGAATCACTTTGATCCATGTCGAGCTATAGATACCGAAAGGATATGTGAGGAAGTCATAGATGAACCAGATGGTCGAGACTAGGAATAATCGAGGCCCGTAGAATTTGAGAGCCAGCCAGTAAGGGGTCTTTGTATTCTTGAATCCTTCACGGATGTAGGATTGAGGTTCCTTGAGTCGGATCCGGAGGTACATGAGGCTTAGTGGCGGAATCACTCCCAAAGCCAGAGAGAGGCGCCAGACGAGGCCGAGATTATTAGGCGCAGCACGGGCGATAATCATGGGAACCAAAGTGCCGAAGATGAAGCCCAAGTCGATTTGAGTGTTGGTAAAGAGGCAGAACCAGCGGTTGCGTTGGCCTTCTTTCAGTTCGCAGGAAGACTCAGCGCAGCCTACAGATCCAGCTGGATACTCTCCTCTTCGAATTATGTTAGCAGAGATACAGAATCGTCCATCATTGTACTACGCTTCTCGCAGTGCTTGCTTACCCAATTCCAATGCCCAGCAGAAAGCGATATGCCGTAAGAGCTGCGAAGAGACCCATCACGCTGCCTCCTGCTCCATACGAACTTGCTCCCAGCGCAGCAAAAACGAATAGGATCACAGTCGAGACCAGTAGCGACCACTTGCGTGAATAGTGATCGCTCGTGTATCCAAACGCGAGCTGCCCAACCACAGTCCCCGCAAAGGCAATTGATGAAACGTTCTGCTGTGCCGAACTGGCAGTGTATTGGTCGCCATAGAGAGTGCTCAGACATGTGTTGACGGGTCCAATAACGGATTGGAGGTATCCATCGCTGAACAGACCGGCGCCGCAGGCGATCGTAGGCCATAAACGCTCCCATCTGGATTCGTCCAAGTTCTCGCTGGGTGGAGGCTGATGAAACTCGGAAATAACGGCGTCATCGAGCTTCTTCTGTGTGGTGTAGTGGGCCATAGTTGTGATGTTCGACATCAAGTATGGTGGAAAGGGTGAATTGTAGGACAGAAAAGCAGCACAGCCTTCACTTGTGATCTGCTTTCAGCTCAGAAGGCTTTGCGCTCACCGTTCACGACGTATGGATGATGGAGTACGAGAGGTCTATGGACGTGGCTAGGGTTTCCATGGCTTGAGGGTGGAATGCTTGAATCTGCCGACGAAGCGAGGATGCTGCGTGTTGAGCAACATCCCAATTCAGATTGATATGCATTTGTACAGCACGTGGCGTGGGTAACGACAGTAGTAGGTCGCTGCAGCTTGTGTTAGAGTTGGAGTTGTCCTGATCGAGCTCGATTGAAGGCTTGCTGCTAGGGTGAAGCCTTGAAGGTTGCCTGGGTAGTTAGGGCCAATGTTGCATGGACAACGTCAGGTCATGTTCCCTACCTCATCTACACTTTGTTGTACACCAACACGCTCTCAATGCACGAATGACTAGGGGACATGCTCAACCTGGCCGTTTGTCAATATTGAGTTTGCTAATGTCCAAATTCGTCCCTGTCTACCTACTTCACTCACTCATGAACAGTATCCTCGTCTTCTATGCTTGTAACCCGTTGTTTGCAATGTCTGTCTCGCTCTCTTTTTCTTCTTCTTCTTCTTCTTCTTCTTCTTCTTCTTCTTCTCTACGGGATGAGCACTCATTTCGACCCTGTCGTGACTGCGAGGCGATAATTGTTGATGTGGCACACAGCACTCAGGCACCCGCTACAAACGGAGTAATCGGCGAGGTAGACGGCGAGGTTGAAGCCTGAGGCCAGAGGCCTAGAGTCTATATAGCACAGCTGATAGACACTCAATTGACATGATCATGGATCTCAACTTTACACTTCAACAATGAGTACAGGGTCGAAATGGGTATTTCTCGGCAGTTTTGGGGTGCTGCTGTAGGTGAGTGAATGAATCTGTGTGGTTTGTAGAGAGCGTGTTGGTTGTAGCAAAGTATGTGAAAAGTGAGGTAGGGAGAAATTAACGATCTTTGAGGACGGGAGCTGTAGCAGGAAATACAGGAATGGCATATACGACGGTGGAGACAGGATTCGATACGCACACTCCGACACGCTCTCGCAAACTACATGTAGCTAGGTAAGGAAAGTAATTAACATACATATACTAACGCATACAACAGACCAACCTGCTCGGCTCAACCTGTACTACCGTACTACCCCTTGACTATCATAATAGCAATCTTCCAAGGTGTTCTCGCTTCCATAAAGGTAGGAACTTTTCCAACCCTTCTGCAGACTTTGTTGTTCCATCGTTCCAGAGAGACCATTCAAGGATCATGTACGCAGTCACATCGATCCCTATTATATTTCGCAAAGAGCCCACAGCCCTGTGGACCTTGGACAGCCTCGAAGTAGACTTGGGCAGCGAAGTTGCAGATTTTCTTTACGAAAAAATTTTTCTTGTGGCATTCAGCATGCATGCAATCTAGGAATGCGACGTTACAGTACAGGCAAGATGGTTTAGTACAATCGTCATAACATATGTCATGAGCGTCGCAGCAGCTGTGGAACCACAATTCCGGGACCAAATTCTTGGTTTTTACTGAACCACAGCCGTTCGAGAAACCGGGAGGGGAGCCTGGCTTGAGCACCCCGTGTTGGAAGGGTGGGCATCTGAAGCCCTCATTCTGCCTCTTTCCGAGGCTTCGAAGTTCATGATGTGACTTCTCCACCTTCAGCGCATCCTTGAACGTATCCAAGTCGAAAGCGGTCATGGTCCAATCCGCAGAGTGTGCCCCAGCAGTGAAAGACGTGCCCTTGCCGTCAGCATCGATCTTCCAGCTATAAGATACTCCGTCGTGCATGACACCGATACGACCGTCGCAGTCGACGGTGAAGATGGATGTCACTGCGGCGGGAGTTTTTCCATTGTCCTTCTGGCCAGTAGACCCGGTGGATGCTGGCAAAAGGACGAGTCCGCCATCCGCCGTTTTTGCAACATACTGCGGTTCGGAGCCAGCCGTGACAAGATCGTATACGCCTGCAGGTGCACTTGTTGATTGTTGGAAGAAGAATTCGGGGGCTTGGTAGAAGTGATCAAATGAAACATTGCCTTGAAGAGAGTTTATTTCTCTCTGTTCTTCAGTCAGAGCACCAGGAAGAGGCTGGAGCTGTTTCTCGGCAGTTGGGACGAGTGGCCAAAAGTCTGGTCCAGTGAGGCGAAATCTGCTCTTGGTGGAGTTTGGTTGGATCAGACACGGAACACCGGGCACGGTGATTTGGCTGAGACGCATAAGAGCGGCGTTCTTTGCAACGATGGGAGGACAGTCTTTGTCATATAGCGTCCATGGGCTAGAAGGTGACGCTTGGCCTATGCTCGAACTGCAATCGAATGAATCAGCTTCAGTTCTTCATGATTGACTAGGGACTATCCATATGGGTTGGCCACCTACACCGGCGATGCATAATGTAGGCACATGCCTACACCAATGGCATAGCTTTGACATTTGGTGTCCGACGCACAACGCTCTCCACAGGCCACTGCGTGGTAGAGTGCAGGATGGGTTGACGTAAAGTATGGAGGCGTTGTGGAGATTCCAACAGTGCCACAGAGCTCTGCTGCAACAAAAGTCAAAGACAGGAGCACCACCATGGGTGACAAGAGCTGGAGAAGTTTCATAGCTGTAGATGCGTTGACCGTACTAGGTCGTTGCAGTGAAGATGCAGTGAAGAAGGTTCCTGAAGCTCGTGGATTGTGATATGGTCTCAGTGTTATGAGCGCTGCGAGCAGGACTCATATATATATCTTGCGTTTGAGACTCACTACCACTCGTTCCTGCAACAAATGAGGCGAGGTTTGCAGGGCGCTAATCGCGTCCAGAAAGAGAAAAAAATCCTCTTTGCATAAGGTAGGTACGTTGAGTAACTTGCTGTATAGGTGATGTAGTATTGTATACAACATCAAACGATGCAAAGTCAGTTTCGATATCTACCTACTAGGCCAGGCGATAATGCTATAGGCGTGCCACTGCGTGGTCGCGAATGAACCACGTGCTAAGAAGGACATGAACGAAAGTAGAGTTGGTAGACGCACAAGCAAGGCCGTCTGCTCATTCTGTGGCTATACCCCACCCTTAGCCAACACTCGGTCTATGCCTCATCGTCGATACCCGATTAGGTATTTGGAACTCGATTGGATCGATTGCATCTGTCCCTGGAGAGTTCTGGGGTAAATGTCCTTGCTTTACTTTATTTACTCCGCTCCAACAAGCCTGCTGATAAGTACCTAGAGATGGTTGTTGTCCAATATTGCAGTCGCTTGCAGACACGTGGGATCTTCTTTGGCATATTAGCGTTCGTTGGACACAGATTGCTAGAATACCGTACTACATGTATACACGTAAAGGCGAATCTGTCGTTCAATATTAGGGCTATGTATACAACTATATGTCAGTTGCAGGGGGTGGGGGGCAGAGGGCTTCGCATAGCCCTAGAAGAGGGCTGCCTATAGATCAATCTTAGCCTCTAGGGCTGCCCGTATCCGTAGCCTTTGCAGCTATTCGAATACACTGTATAGCAAAAGCTTGGAAGTCAATATATCCCGTCTTGCCTGTCTGGCCTGTCTTGCCGGTCGGTCTGCACGTGAGCTTGGGTTCGTTGATGGAAGGTCTGAACTAACGGCTGTGCTTCCGTGCTCGGTCAGTAGACAGGGATAGTACCTCCTATTGGCGAATAGTGGCTGCGAAGAATTGAGGGCGGGAGAAACCTAGAAGCACCGCGCACGCGTTACTACACACGTACTGGGCTGAATCATGGTCGCTAAGATGATGTCGTGCTCTGATGGAATAGTCGATTCCAGTAGGGCCCTACCTACCTGTACCTGTACCTGTACCTTAAGAGGTATGATGATGGCACGACGGATCCCGGATGCGACATTTGGCTGTTGCGTCATGGATAGCTTTAGTAAGGGCGGAGGTGGCTCTAGAGGTACATGTAAGGTATGTAAAGTAGGCATCGGCAGGGCGAAACTCCGGCCTTGGACCGGACAAGAGTCGGGTGCGATAGATGAGAAACGACGGGATTACATGGTCCTCACATCAGTAGCCTCCAGGGCTACCTACCTCGTTGCATAGGTAAGGTACCTTCTTTATTCTCTTTTCTGCCTTGTGGACTCTCCATTTCCCCGTTCTGAATACCACATTCATGTTATTTCAAGCATGATCCAACGTGAAAAATGTGGAGTCTGCGGAGTGAATGGTGAATAGTCCTTGATTCATGAACAGCTTGTCATCGAACGTGGTCCCAAGACGTAAAGACATTACCTTTTAAACTTTGGTCGTTTCTGCTTCTCAATTAGAACCTATGGCTTCATGCAAATCTCACATGACCACCATAAGCTTCTGCTCAAATATCCTCCTACAACATCTTCGCCCCATCCTGCAGATGCCACTCCATGATCTTCTCGAAGATGCCCTTTCCCCCAGTCTCAATCACATCCCCGTGGCAAGGTATGATTCGATCGAACGACCATCCATTGATCTTCTTCATACTCTCGCTGAAGGCGGGTCTGGGGTTCGCCAGTCCATACCATATAACTCTCTTCTGTGCCAGAGCCGCACCTCTCGTGTGCTGCAGACTGTTGAACAGCTTGGTCAACAGGCCGGTCGTAGGGTCCAGATCCGTCTTGCTGAACTGTTCGGTTGCTGGCATGTTGAAGAGCAAGTCAGCTTCGATAAGGGTGCCAGACTTGCGGTGATTGAAGACGAGTTCCTTGTTGCCATGTGCATGGACATATTCATAGTCGAAGTCGGCGTCGAACTCGGGTGAAATCTCGGGTTTCTTGTTGGGGTAGAATAGCACTTCATTGTCTCTGGGGATCTGGAAATAGGACTGCTTCTCGCGGTATTTGGGCAGGGTCTCGGGCATGAGAACTTTGGCTTCTGGGTAGGCCTAACGGAGATACCTAGTCAGCATATGGGGAGCCTGCCCGATGGCCACAGCCCGTAGCTGAATCCAGCATCTCGCACCTTGTGATAACTCTCCAGAAAAATGTGATGTTCCTGATCGAGCGCGACAATGTAGCCCATCTTTCCTCCCAGGCTTGCGATCTCTTGCTTCACTGTATCTGTCAAGGCGACGGGAGAGAAGACGGCGAGATTGCCCGTGGCTAGTCGCACGATTGTGCCTCGTCCTCCAACCTTGATCCGCCCAAAGCGCAGGAAAGGCGTGCTGCAGGTGATGATATCCGGCGTGATCTTGCGGATCACCATCACCTTTTCCGGATCGCTGGGGATCAATTTGGCTGCACCGGACGCCATTGCGGTGCTGGTAGATGGGGGAGTACCCGGAGTAGCGAGGGTGGAGGGGCGGAGGGGGTGGAGAGGGCGGAGAGGGTGAAGAGGGCGGAAGGATGGGTGTGTTGTGTTTGCGCGAGAGAGGGAGAGATGGAGCCAGATGGTATACTTATGGACAGAGTGGGAGACTCGGGTATGTGTGGTCTCCAAGCTAAGGTGGCATTACAGACACGCCTACTGTAGGTTGGAAGTACGCGATAGCAGTTTTATGTAAGGTTGTGCACTCAGTCTCACGGCATGTCGGAGTCCGAATTATACCCGATAATCACTACAGACCACACCATACCTACGCTATGAGGTACCTTACCTCCAACGCTACGCTACCTTCCATGAGCACTCGGAAGAGAACAGAACCACTTGCACCACCAACAGGGAGATCATGGCAGGCTTGTCATCGAGACATGGCCTCACGAAGCTCCTCGCGCTCCCCCCGTCTCTGCGACGAAGCCTCTACTCTACCGCCGCGACACTGTCCAGCACCCCCGAGCTCTACGATGTCGTCTGCATTGGCGGCGGACCCGCGGGACTGTCTCTCATCTCGGCCTTGCGATCAAATGCATCGACCAAGAACCTGAAGATCGCCCTGATTGATGGCCAGGAGTTGAAGGCTTCGTCGTCAAATGACCCCAAGGCTTTCTCGAATCGATGCTCGTCCCTCACGCCATCGTCGGTGCGATTTCTCGATCAAAATGGAGCGTGGTCCTACATCAACGCGGCGAGGACACAGCCATACCACGGCATGGACGTCTGGGACGGCGTGAGTGGGAGCAAGATACACTTTGATCCGCTCGACACTGCGGGGGGCGGCATACTAGACACAATCGCCGCCGCTATACCAGGGAGTAGCTTGCAGCAGAGTAGGCGAAGGTACGAGCAGGAAGATGTCAATACCGTGGCTACCATGTGCGAGAACAGCAACTTGACTTCTGCACTGCTGAGACGTCTGCAAGATGCCGACGCTGTAGACGCGATGGACCAGACGCGCGTGGAGTCAATCACGTACGGACCAGAAGCGAAGGATGACGATTCGCTCGATCTGTCGCTATGGCCAATTGTGAACCTGCCAGGGGACAGGTCGTTGGCAGCGAGGCTGCTCATCGGAGCAGATGGTGCCAACAGCCCGGTGAGAGCATTTGCAAACATTCCAAGTCATGGCTGGGACTACGGCCAGCATGGTGTAGTTGCCACTCTCGACCTCGATCGGCCATTCAGCCAGGCCGATCTAAGGACTGCATATCAACGCTTCCTGCCCACAGGTCCCATCGCACTACTACCATTGCCGGGCAACAAAGCCAGTTTGGTCTGGTCAATCACAGCGCCACTCGCTGCGAAATTGAAGCAGCTTTCCTCCCACAACTTCACCACCATGGTCAACGCCGCCTTCCGCCTTATGATGGTAGACATTGAATATCTCATGCACAACCCTCGGTCGGACCTTGCAGACGAACTGTCCTGGCGTGAACCACACACCGACCCTCGAGCAACTGGCCTTCCTTCCACTCTGCCACGCGTTGTTGGTGTCCAAGAAGGCACCATCGCATCCTTCCCTCTCCGCATGCGACACGCAGATACATATACGGGCCATCGCGTCGCACTCATCGGTGATGCAGCTCACACGGTCCATCCGCTTGCAGGCCAAGGTCTGAACCTCGGTTTGGCAGATGCGGAGGCACTGGCAAATTGTATTGCACACGGCGTGAATCACGGCATGGATATCGGCAGCTGCTGGGCTTTGGACGAATACAACTCTCAGCGCTGGGCAGCGAATAACGCCATGTTGGGGGTGGTGGATAAGTTGCAGAAGCTGTACTCCGCCTCTTCCGGACCTGTCGTCTGGGGCAGAAGTCTCGGCTTAGATCTGGTCAACCGGCTGGGACCACTAAAGGGCGCGCTAATGGGTGCGGCTGGCCGATAGCTAAACCTGCCATACCTCCTACCCTAGCTTTTTACCTTTTTTACCTACCTTATACACTCGTGCCCCAGAACCAAGGTTTCTGCCAAGTACATAACTAGGAGGTACGTGTAAGCCGGATCTCGTCAGAACACCTTGGCTGTGACGCAGAGGTTCCAGCTTCGGCTGCTTAGCATTGATCAAATCAAAAAATTGGTTGGAGAGCTAGGAGGTACTAGTATTGGCAATACTAGAAGGCGTCTGATGATCCTTTCTCGGATTCCCTACAATCTGTGCAGTTTCAAGCAAAGACAGCGTGCAGCCGCGATAGCCAATATTCCCGAGCTCCGGGCAGCCCTAGCCTCTGATCCTTGTCCTCCTGACGGTCTCTCAGGCCACCGCATTGCCCCATACAAGCACAGTTACAAATGACACTCATCAACATCATCAATTCGCGGAAATCGATGCAGCGAAGCTTCTCGCGCGCGGTGCACTGTCCGACTTCATAATCGCAAGACGAATTGCAATCAGGTCCAGACACGTGGTTGCGTAGAGCCGTCTCAATGAGCATACATTCGTTACATATCCATTTCTCGTGTCATGTCTCAATGCGAATAGGCGACAATTCCTTTAGAGCAACGCAGCACCGAGGAGCGCAAGCAGGGCTGGCCCACCAGTCGCCATCTTGGTGGCCGCAGCACCGGAAGAAGTTGTACCAGAGGAAGTCCGACTGGACGAAGTGCCTGACATCCTACCCGACATCGTCTCTGAAGCGCTGGCGATCGCTCCCCCACTCTGGGAAGAGCCTGTTGGTGTTGGTGATGATTCTGCACTGAAAGATCCGCCTGCAGCAGTGTTGGCCTTCTGACCCATAGTAGGCAGCGAACCTGCGGCGAGCCAAGCTCCAGGGGTTGTTTCAGGGCATGCGGGTGCAGTGAGTGAAGGCGAGTATGCAGCAGACTGGACGCCTGATGGCGAAGCAGCAGCCCACTGGGACTTCAAATTGTTGAAGTCTGGCTGAATCGGCGTTGGTGTACCTCGAATCGTGAAGCCACCTGCAAATAGTCAGCACCCACGTGCCAAGCTCGAACAGCAGCAAGTATTGGGCAGCGTCACCGACGACACATTGGGCCCGTGTAGAGGGTCGACATACCTGCAACATTCGCACCAGTGACGGTAGCGTCAACAGCTGGTCCGTATGAAATCAGTCCGTAGTCGTTCGCTTCTTCAATCCACTCGTAGATGATGGCTCCAGACCATGTACCCGACATTTCTGGGCCGAAGATGGCTGCTTGGTCTCCTGTAATGCAACCCAATTAGTATGCCGGCAGTGGAGGCATCAGAATCGGAAAGACGTACCAAATGTTCGTGGCTTGATGACCTGGCAGCCCGTTTCGGAGAAAAAGATTGTTTGGACAGAAGGACATGGGTGCCCTGGCATCATGTGACATGAGTCATATGAGATAACAGGGGCCACTGATTCCTTAGCATATGTATGTAGAGTTGGGGATACCCACCCCCCCTCTTTTCTCTTCTTGAGAGGTCAGACCTCGGACCTCAATTAATCCACTTATTGATTGGTATTCCATCAATCTTCTCAATTGGGCACTAGTGTGGTGTGTGGTTCCAACAGTTATGAGCCCGGCTAGCTCTGCTTGATTAATCAAAGGAATCAATTGGTTACTGGATATCTCCCGGAATCACCTGAGATTGATCAAAATCCGCTGTATCAAGAAAACCCGAGGACCGCACACCATCACTTGAATGCCGGCCCAAACCCGTTCATCCAGACAAAGAGAAGAGAGCCCATCAGATCAGCTCACAATCG